GCGCCTGACTGCGGTTTTTGTGGTCTGGGGGGGGGGGAATCCTGAATTTGGCCTTTTTTAAGGTGGAATTTTCCTTCTCTTGGGCATTTTGGGGCATTTTACGCCTCCTGAGGGCGGTTTCCATCTCCTGGGGGGGAAAAAATCCTGAATGTGGCTTTTTTAAGGTGGAATTTTCCTCCTTTTGGGAATTTTGGGGCATTTGACACCTCCTGGGGGGGGGGGGAATCCCAATTTTGGCATTTTTTTAAGGTGGAATTTTCCTCCTCTTGGGCATTTTGGGGCATTTTACGCCTCCTGGGAGGAAAAGCTCCTGATTTTGATCTTTTTTAAGGTGGAGTTTTCCTCCTCTTGGGAATTTTGGGGCATTTTATGCTTCCTGGGGGGAAAAAAATCCCGGTTTTGGCCTTTTTTAAGGTGGAATTTTCCTAGTCTTGGGAATTTTGGGGCATTTTACACCTCCTGGGGGGAAAAAATCCTGAATTTGGCCCTTTTTAAGGTGGAATTTTCCTCCTCACGGGAATTTTGGGGCATTTTACGCCTCCTGGGAGGAAAAGCTCCTGATTTTGATCTTTTTTAAGGTGGAGTTTTCCTCCTCTTGGGAATTTTGGGGCATTTTATGCTTCCTGGGGGGAAAAAAATCCCGGTTTTGGCCTTTTTTAAGGTGGAATTTTCCTTCTCTTGGGCATTTTGGGGCATTTTACGCCTCCTGAGGGCAGTTTTCACCTCCCAGGGTGGGATTTGGGCAGGCAGGAGAAGGCAGAGACCCCTGGGAAGTCACCCCACCAGCTCCCAAAAAGAATTATGATTAAAATAATTTAAAAAAAATAAAATTTGGATTTTTCTTTTCTTTCCCAGCAACATTTGGATTCTTCACCCCTTGGCCGCTCGACAAAAGTGCTTTTGATTTATTTCCGCCGCATTTCCCCCTCCCAAGACCCCAGAGAAGAACAATGTTTATCTGGAATTTTTTTTTTTCCCCACACTTTTTGGGACTCAAAAGTCCTTTATTTCCTACGGAGTCTATTTGGGAATATTTTCTGATATTGGGGGCGATTTTTTTCCTCTTTTCCTCCTGTTTTACTCCAAAATGCCCCAAGCTGCAGCCTGGGGCAAGAAAAATTTGGGGTTTTTTTCCAAATTATTGAAATTTGAAATAGAAATTTCTCGATCAATTAAACCTGATTTAAAAAAAAAAAAAAAAATTAAAAAATCAAATGTTTGGGGAGGAAAAAAAAAATAAATCAAAAATTCTTCCCTTTGCAAACTGTCAAAACCAGGATGGAAATTGTTCTCAGCTGGACAATATTTGCAGGAAAGTCCGAAGTGCAGGTGAGGATGATTTATTTTGTGTAGGATGATTTAATTTGTGTTTTTTGGTTTTATTGAAGAGGAACACCGGCTGCTCAGGGTTGTGTCTAATATTTTATAGAAAATATAGAAGATTTTTCTCAACCTGAAGCTTTAGGGGAAAAAGGCCAGGAAAAGGTTAAAAACCCAAAGAATTTGTGAAAAAAAAAAGAATTTTGCAAGAATGAGGGGGAAAATATGCCGCCGTGGGAGGTTTGGGAGAAGCGATAATTCCGAGCGGCCGCGGGCTGGGCTGGAGAAAAAGGAGCTTTGAGGGAAAAATAAAGAGATTTAGGGAAAAATAAAGAGATTTAGGGAAAATAAATAAAGAGATTTAGGGAAATAAATAAAGAGATTTAGGGAAAACAATAAAGAGATTTAGGGAAAAATAAAGATATTTAGGAAAAAAAGTGCCGTGATTACCTCCTACCTCGCCAAGCTCAGAGATCTTGGGCTGGGAGATTATGAATTTTTTTTTTTTTTTTTTTTTAAATTTTAGCGACCACAGGAGCATCCTGGCAAAGCTTCGGGACTGAAAAGGACCCAACTGGTGCCTGGTGTCAGGATCTCGGGGTGCTCTGGACCTTGTTGCTGGTGGATTTTGAGGGATGGACTCATCGCTGGGAGATTCTTCCGGCCCCTCCGCGACACCGGGCGTTCGGGATGCAGGTAGGGAACCGCCGTCTTCTTTTTTAGAGGATTTAAGAGCTGCCCTGGGTGTGATGGGGAGGGTTGGGGGGTCATCCAGCACCACCCGGGGCTGGAAAATATGTTGGAAGTTGGAAAAATGGGGAAGAAATTGGGGCAACACCTCTCCGGGGCCAAGGGAGCCGTTGGAAGATGATAAAATCAAGGTTGGCTTAAAAAATGCGGTAAAATCAAGGTTGAAAGAAACCGGTCATCCGGCACAGCGTGGGGTGACCTGAGGGTCCTGGAGGGAGGATCGGAGCGGAAAACGCGTCGTAAGTTGGAAAAATGGGGAAGAAATTGGGGCAACGCCTCTCTGGGGCCAACGGAGCCGGCAAAAGACGGTAAAATCAAGGTTGGGTTGGAAAAACAAAGCGAAATTGGGTTTTTTTGGCGAAATCGGGTTTTGTTTGTGAAATCGGGGTTTTTTTGCGAAATCAGGGGTTTTTTTGGCGAAATCGGGTTTTTTTTGCGAAACTGGGTTTTTTTGAAGGCAGAAATAATTTTTCTCATCCTGCCAACCCCGTAAAGCAGATGGAAGGGGAAATGCTACTTTTTCACTTGTCTTGGGAGAAAAATCCCCAAATTTCAAACATTTTGTCCTGAAAACCCCTTGAATGGATCCTGCGCCCCGTTGTGCCCCCACCACGTTTTTTGACCGTATTTAAACCCTTTGAAGGGCAACACAAGAGGGTCTTGGGGTGCTCTTCGTGCCGTGGGTTGGCCGATCGTGCTTCTTCCACGCCGTTTGCCCCCAGGTTTGAGCCTCAAGTGCATCAAAGATAAAAAAGTCCCTGTCGGCGTCACCGTGGTGGTCGCGGCGTTGCTCTTCACCATCATCGCGCTGGCGGGTAAGCGGCCGAAGACGGAGGTTGTTCCCAACCCAAAATTCTCTCTTCCCCTGGAGAAAAAAGTCACCGGGACATTTTCTGCTTTTTTTTTTTTTTTTTTTTTCCAGCGAAAAAATGTCCGTCGTGTCCGTCCTGCCCTTCTCCCGTCCTTCCTGGCTGCCGGGAAAACGGGATCGGCTACGGGGAGAAGTGTTTTTATTTCGTGGAGGACGAAGCGGATTGGAACCGGAGTCAGAGCTCTTGCCTCGCTCTCGGAGCCCATTTAACCGCCGTCGACACCCCGCAGGAGCTGGTAAATGAGAAATTCCAGAGGAATTGGTGTGTTGGTGGCTTTGGAGATGGAGATTCGGGATTTTCTTGGAGGATGTTGAGTGAAGATGGGTGAAGTTTGGGTTTTTTTCCTCCTTTCCAGCGTTTCCTCTTGCGCTACGGGAGTTCCTCACGCTACTGGATCGGTCTCCGAAGGGAAGACTCCGGATCTTGGAAATGGTTCAATGGGTCTTTCTTCAACGACGCGTACGTCCCGTCTTCTTCCGGAGAACGTAACCGGGTCCTGGGTCAGAGATCGTACGCGTGAAGACGCGTGATAAATAGAAATGTAACGAGGTGGGAGCAATTAAATGCCAATTTTCTTCCTTGAGCTCAAGAGGGTGGATTTGTACGGGGTGTGGAGTTGAGGGCAGGGTTGACCACCACCCGTTTCCTTCTTT